TGACGACATGGGAGATCCCAGTGGCATTTCAGGACTAGACAGGTCCTAAAGCCAGATTTTTGTCCCAGCGGAAAGACTGATGAAATGCATTTTCCTGAGAGGATATGGAGAATGGGGAGTTAGGGGAATACTGACCCAAGAGGTTGCAACTTTTAGCTTTGATCCGTTTGAAACAAGTCTGTGAGGTGTTTCTGGAATCCTGTAGCTGCTGATGTGACGTGTTACTGTGCCACAGTGGAGTATTAGTGTGCACCCCAAGCGGGGACATGACAGCAGTAACACTTGAGAGTGGCTTGTGACATCAGGTAGCTGTAAGCGAGGCTGCCACCGGTCGGGGAGATGACCCAAGGTGTGTTTTATTATGTTCATTAAAGGTTTATTTATTCATTTGGAAGAGTTACAATGAGAGGGGGAGACTGCGATCTGGCACCTGACCACAGCGATCAGCGCTGGGCAAGGCCCGAGCCTGCCGCGTCTGCCAGGTCTCCCACAGGGCTGGCGGAGCCCAAGCACCTGGGTTATTCTCGTTGCTTTTGTCAACCGTTAGCAGGGATACAAACCAGTACTCAAGTGGGATGTTAGCACTGCAGGCAGTGGCTTAACCTGCTATGCCTACTCTGTTTTATTTTTGAATGATTATTTTTGTAAAGATTTATTTATTTTTAATTGCAAAGTCATATATATATATATATATATATAGAGAGAGAGAGAGAGGAGAGAAGAGAAGAGAAGAGAAGAGAAGAGAAGAGAAGAGAAGAGACAGAGAAAGATCTTCCATCTGATGGTTCACTCCCCAAGCAGCTGTAACGGCTGGAGCTGACTCATCCAAAACCAGGAGCATGGAGCCTCTTCTGGGTCTCCGATACGGGTACACCGGTACAAGAAGCTGTTTCCTGTGAGGAGGCAGGGGCCCAAGCACTTGAGCCACCTTCCACTTTGCACATGTAGGAAGGTAGATTGGAAGTGGAGCACTCGTGACTTGGGGTCCCCGGAACTTGGAAGGAGCCTCCTGTGGATTGCAAGGGGTGGCTTGGCTCACTGTGCTGCAGTGCTGAGCCCTGGCTCATTTTGGTGAAGGGGGATCTAAGAGATTGTGTCGATAAATTAGCAAAGGACCTTAATGGGCACCTGGGAGATGAATGGAAAGGAAGCGTTTGCTTGGAAGAGCAGTAAGAGTTCCGTGCAAAACGTCTAGATGGCAGGATGGCAGGCGAGCGGCTGCATGTGCGCGGATCAAGTTACGAGAAGTGTGTGTGGTTAGAATGAGCAGAAGGTTGGAAATCTGCCGCCTGTTCCACAGTCATCCAGTGGAGCACCCCCACCTGTCCTGCAGCCCCCCGGCGGAGTACCCCACCTGTCCTGCAGCCCCTCTGGAGGAACACCCCCACCTGTCCTGCAGCCCCCCGGCGGAGTACCCCACCTGTCCTGCAGCCCCTCTGGAGGAACACCCCCACCTGTCCTGCAGCCCCCGGTGGAGCACCCAACCTGTCCTGCAGCCCCTGGCGGAGCACCCCCACCTGTCCAGCCCCCTGAAGGAGCACCCCACCTGTCCTACAGCCCCCTGGCGGAGCACCCCCACCTGTCCTGCAGCCCCCCGGTGGACCACCCCCACCTGTCCTGCGCCCCCTGGAGGAGCACCCCCACCTGTCCTGCAGTCCCCCCGGCAGAGTACCCCCACCTGTCCTGCAGCCCTGGTGGAGCACCCCCACTTGTCCTGCAGCCCCCAGTGGAGCACCCCCACCTGTCCTGCAGCCCCCTGGCGGAGCACCCCCACCTGTCCTACAGCCCCCTGGCGGAGCACCCCAACTTGTCCTACAGCCCCCTGGTGGAGCACCCCCCACCTGTCCTGCAGCCCCCCGATGGAGCACCCCCACTTGTCCTACAGTCCCCCAGTGGAGCACCTCCACCTGTCCTGCAGCCCCCTGGCGGAGCACCCTCACCTGTCCTGCAGCCCCCTGGTGGAGCACCCCCACCTGTCCTGCAGCCCCCCGATGGAGCACCCCCACTTGTCCTACAGTCCCCCAGTGGAGCACCTCCACCTGTCCTGCAGCCCCCTGGCGGAGCACCCTCACCTGTCCTGCAGCCCCCTGATGGAGCACAGCCGGGGCTCTCTCCTTTCCTGAGGCCCAGGCTGCAGACAGGGGAGAGGACGAGCTGAGTCAGGTCTTTCCAGCCGTCCGCAGTGACCCTCAGCTGCTCCTGAAGGGGAGTTGGTCGTGCAGAGCTGTGTGCGTTTGTGTTGCTGGATTATCCTTCCGGCCTGTAGACCTGGGACCTTGGCTGGTGTGCCCGTTGCCCTGATGGTGCCAGCTGTGTCCTCATGCGCAGTCGCCAACCCTGTTCCAGCACACACTGTCTGCTTTGTAGTTGCTTGCTGTGTGCCTGCTTGTAGTGAACTCTATTATTTTCTAAAAAGTTTTTTTTTAAAAGACTTATTTTTGTTTGCAAGGCAGATTTTGATTGAGAGAGAAGGAGAAACAGAGGTGTTCCATCTGCTGCTTTACTTCCCAAATGGCCTCAGTGGCCAGACCTGGCTTCTTATGAAGTTGGAAGCCTAAAGCTTCTTTGGGGTCTCCCATGTTGAGTGCAGGGGCCTGAGGCCTTGGGCCAAACTCCCTTGCTTTCCTAGGCCATAAGCAGAGAACTGGATCAGAAATGGAGAAGCCAGGACTTGAGCCAGTGCCCGTATGGGATGCCAATAGTTGCAGCTGGAGGCTTAGCCTACTACACCACCGGGCTAGCCCCTGCTCAGTCAGGGTTCGTCGTGAAACACCCATAGACAAAGCTGAAAGGCCTGGCATCGCGAACTTAATTGTGAAAACCTGGGAGACTGCTGCGCTGCTTCTGAGGCTTGGCTGTAAATGAAAGCCATCGGATGCATGGTAGATGATTTTCTGTCTTGTAAAAGTGAACCAGTATGGCAGTTCTGCTGCTAAGGTGCTGGGTCCTGCTGCTCATTGCCTCGCTGTACCCGGGAGGCGGCCTCATGGGCCCGGCCCGGAATGAGTCATCCCACTCGTACAGGGAGCCTGCAGGAAGGGGAGACTGTGCCACCTGGACGCGCCCTGTGTCATTCCTGTCACTCCACACTGATGCGAGCTTAGTCACCTCATCCCACCCTAGCCACCTGGGTTACATGACTGCTAAAAAAAGTCTGCTCTCTGGGGGCCAGCATGGTGTTGTCGCAGGCTAATCCTCTGCCTGCCACGCTGGCACCCCATAGGGGCACCAGTTAAAGTCCCGCGGCTGCTCTGCTCTGGAAGGCAGTGGAGGATGGCCCGAGGCCCTGGGCCCCTGGTGCCCATGTGGGAGGCCTGAAGCAGGCTCTTGGCTCCTGGCTTTCCATCAGCTCAGCTGTGGCCACTGAGGCCGTTTGGGGAGTGAGTCAGCAGATGGAAGATCTCTCCCTCCCTTACTCTGTAACTCTTTTTTTTTTTTAGTCTTTTATAGCAGAAGGGGAAGGTGGGCATGGCTCTTCTTGCCAGTGAGGAATCTAGTTTGTACTCCTCCGGGTCATGCGCAGTACTTAACACTAGAGCTTATCCAGCAGGGGCTGAATAAATCGTTCTCATTAGTTATTTATTTAAAAAACCAAAAAACAAAAAACATTCGTTTACTTGGAAGTGGAGTGACAGAGGGAAGAGCGTGACAAACCTTCCATGCATTGGTTCATGTCCCAGTGCCCACTAGAGCTGGGCTGGGCTGAGACCAGCAATCTGGCATTCCGGCTGGGTCTCCCAAGTGGGTGTCAGGACCCCAAGGTCTTCCGCTGGCTCCCAGAAGTCTTAATGGCAAGCCAGGACTGAACTGAACCAGGGCGGCAACACAGTGAGCAAGGTGGGCGTCCCAGTGATGGCTTAGTGCCACCGCGCTGTCCCTCTCAGCAGCTCTTCTGTGGAGGGCTTGAGGTCTTGGATTTTCCTGCGGTAAAGCTCCGGGATTATCCCTGGGCAGCAGTGGAAGAGCGTCGCTGCCTTGGCAGCATGACATTTGGCCTGTATTTATTACTGTGGTGGTGGTCTGCACAGACTGAAAATGGGGGGGGGGCACGTGTGTCTCTGCCACTGTGAGTGTGAGGTGTGAGCAGTAGTGCCCATAGCTAGGTGGCCAAGTCAGCCTCCAGATGCTCTTGTGTGGTCACATAGCTTCTTGGATGAAAGACGCGTGGCTGCGCCTGCTTCTCTGTGGTACATTTCCCTCAGTGTGTGCCCTCACATTGGCTTCACACTGATGCACACTTTTTAAAAAGCTTACTGATTAAGAATTCATCAAAGCCTTGGCTTGGTGGTGTTTTCTAATGTGCATTCATGCATATAATTATTGAAATAAATCGGAGCCATTGTGGTGCAGTAGGTTATGCCGCCTGCAGTGCCAGCGGGAGACCCCGATGGAGTTCCAGGCCCGAGCTTCCCTAGGTCCCAGCCCTGGCTCTCGTGGCCCTTTGGGGAATGAGCCAGTGCTTGGAAGATCTCTGTCTTTCCCCACCGCCCCTGTCTATAACTACATTTCAAATAAGATTAAATAAGTTTTTAAAAAGAAAAATAAAGAATGTCGTTTTTATTACCCACCTGGAAATGAAGTCTAATTTGCCATTTTTCCTCCCTTTTACAGTTAAGGCTCTTACACTGTTTAGGTTTTTTTGCTCTGGGGCCAGTGCTGTGAGGTTCAGGTTAAACCTCTGCATGCAGCACTGGTATCCCACGTGTGCACTGGTTCGAGTCCTGGCTGCTCCACTTCTGGTCTGTCTCCCTGCCAATGCACCTAGGCAAGCAGCAGGACATGGCCCAAGTGCTTGGACCTCTGCACCCACGTAGGAGATCCAGAGAAAGCTCCTTGCTCCTGGTTTCAGGCCTGTCAGCTGTGGCTGTTGGACCATGTGGGGAGTGAGCCAGCAAGTGGAAGATCTCTGAGTCTGGCTGTCTCCGTCTCTTGTCACTCTGCTTTTCAATCAGTTAATTAATTGACTAAACATTGACTTTCTTTCCTCCGCAACCGCCTAGGTGATGCCATGGAGAACGGCAAACCTGGACCAGTGCAGGTTGTTTTGGTTCACAAAGAGCAACATTCCTTCGAGCTAGAAGAGAAAGCTTTGGCCAGCATCCTCCTGCAGGACCACATCCGCGATCTCGATGTGGTCGTGGTGTCAGTGGCTGGCGCCTTCCGAAAGGGCAAGTCCTTTATTCTGGACTTCATGCTGCGATACTTATATTCTCAGGTAAGGCAGAATTATTTCACTGCTGCAAATCAGAAACTTTGACATTAGAAAACAAGGCAAAATGAGCTCATGGATTATCTCTGGTAAACACAGTTCCGTTTCATGGCTGTTTCTTGTTTCTTCTACAGAAAGAAGGTGGTCATTCCAATTGGTTGGGTGACGCAGAAGAGCCGCTGACCGGCTTTTCCTGGCGCGGGGGCTCGGACCCGGAGACCACGGGGATCCAGATCTGGAGTGAGGTGTTCACTGTGGAGAAGCCGGGCGGGAAGAAGGTAGGAGGAAAGACTTTCAAGGATGAACTGCTGGAGACCGTCCATGTGTATTGGCTTAACCTAATTACAAATTGTTTCAATATTTATTTATGTATTTATTTGAAAGGCGGAGTTACGGAGAGGAAGGTGGGGAGAGAGAGAGAGAGAGAGAGAAACAAATAAAGCAAGATCTTCCATCAGCTGGTTCACTCCTCAAATGAGTGCAGCAGCCAGGGCTGGGCTAGGCCAAAGCTAGGAGCCTGAAACTCTAGCTGAGTATCTGACGCGGGGTGCGGGTACCCCAGGCCTTGAGCCAGGTTCCCGCTGCCTGCTCAGGGTGGGTCTCTGACGCGGGGTGCGGGTACCCCAGGCCTTGAGTGGGTTCCTGCTGCCTGCTCAGGATGGGTCTCTGACGCGGGGTGCAGGTACCCCAGGCCTTGAGCCAGGTTCCCGCTGCCTGCTCAGGGTGGGTCTCTGACGCGGGGTGCGGGTACTCCAGGCCTTGAGTGGGTTCCTGCTGCCTGCTCAGGTGCATTAACAGGGAGCTGGAATGGAACCGGCGCCCATGTGGGATGTTGGCATTGCAGGCTGCAGCTGGTACCCCTGTCTGTACCACAGTGCCAGCTCTCAAAAATGCTTTGTCACCCTTTTTTTTTAAATCAAAATGTTCCGAGTGCAGGGTTTAAAAATAGCGTGTAGATGTAGTTTGGAAAGCGCCATGGCCCTGAGAGCCTGCTGTGAGAGTGGCTGTCTCTGTTCTTCCCTCCTGCCCCGAGGCCGCTGGTCTCCGCTGTCACAGGCGTTCTCTCTGCTGCTTCCTCCCCTGGGGGTGTCACAGACCTGGCCGCCATTCTGGGGGTGCAGCAGGGAAGGACACCTCTTGATGAGAAGGTGGACAGCAGCTGCTCTCCTGGCTCTCCTTTCTCCTGCCTCACCCCTGCCTGATAAGCCGCTGCTGTTTCCTTGTACAGGTTGGGAGGAGTGAGTCATGTCTTTTTTCCCCTTTCTTTCTTTCTTTCTTTCTTTTTTTTTTTTGGAAAGGCAGACCAAATTTACAGGGAGAAGCAAAGACAGAAAAATCTCTCCATTGGCTCACTCCCCAAATGACTGCAATGGCTGCAGCTGAGCCAATCTGACACCAGGAGCCAGGAGCTTCTTCCTGGTGTCCCACGCAGGTGCAGGGTCCCAAGGCTTTGGGCCGTCCTTGACTGCTTTCCCAGGCCACAAGCAGGGAGCTGGATGGGAAGAGGAGCAGCTGAAACACGAACCGGCACCCATTTAGGATCCTGGCACATGCAAGGCAAGGATTTTAACCAGTGAGCCATTGTTCTGGCTCCATCCATATCATTTTTATGCTCTCTGTATTAACTACCACAGCAGTTTATTTTGGGATTTCTTCAATTTCTATATGTAATTACTTTTTGAATATGTGGATTACAATTAGAATACTAGTTTGTGTCTGTTTTAATTGAGCTTGTTTGTGAGGCAGAGAGAGCCTGCTTCCCTTTGCTGGTTATCTCCATAGATGTTGCAGTGACTGGTGCTGGACTGGACTTGGGCTGAACTTGGGAACTAAACCCGACCCACGTCTCCCACGTGGGTGCAGGAGTCAATTACTTGAGACATCCCCAGTGCTTTGTGGGGTCTGCGTTAGTGGAAGCTGGAAGCTGGAGCCAGGAATTGAACCCTGGCCCTCGGGGGGTGGGATTGGAGTGCCCCACCCAGTATCTGAACTGTCACAAGTGTCTGCCTCCATAATACTTGTTAAAGCCGGTTTCTGTCAGTTTGAACATCTTTCAGTTCTGAGTCAGCTTGGACTGGTGGATGTTTTTCCTTGTTTGGGTCCTATTTTCCTACTTCTGTTTGTGCCTGCAAGTTTTTGATCAGATGCTCGTCTCGGGAATGTTGCCTTGTTGGGTTCGGACTATTTCTGTATCCCTATGCGACATTCCACTTGGTTCTGGGATGCAGTTAAGCAGCGTGGCAGCTCTGGCTTTTCGGACCCGCTGAGATGGCTCCGAGTGCTTTGTTGCTCAGCGTAGAGGCTGTGCTCTGGCGGCTCTCCACAACCTCTCTGCAGGCATGAGGGCTTTGCGGTCTGCCTGGAAGAAGCAGGCATGGCCCTGGGTCCTGTGGAAACCCTGGTGCTGTCCCTCTAAGCTGTCGGGGCTGTTCTTTCTCCCACTTGATCCTTGTACACATGTGCTACTGAGTCCTCAGCTCAGCATCCCAGGGGAGCCCTCTCCCCCTCCTGGGGTTCCTGTGTTCTGCCTGTGAACTGCAGTAACCTTGGTCTCCTGGGTGCTCCTGCTGCATCTCTTGAGCGCAGAGAGCCTGCCAGGCTGTGCTGGGTCCCTGCCCTCTGGAGCTGGGGCTGAACACTGAGCAGGCAAAGGACTCACTCACCTCCTCCGTGTTCTCCCTCACGGGGCTCGTCACCCTTTGTTCCCTGGGGTCCTGTGTCTTGATGTATTGTCCGTTATCTTGTGATTTTTAGCCGGGTGGGTAAGTCTGATGTCTGTTGGTCGGTCTTGGTCACTCACCTCGTTTTGCAGGCAGTGACGAGAGGGCCTCTGCCGTCAAACGGCCGCCGCTGGGTCGGCCTCGCGTGAATCGCCTTTTAGTGTAATTGATCCATGTCGTGCCCTCTTTCTACATTATTGGCACTGGACAGTAAATATTTTCGTAATTTTATTTGGAAAAGCAGAGCAACAGAGACAAGAAGTACACACACACACACATCGTCTGTCCTCTGGTTTTATTTCCCAGATGGCTGCAACAGCTAAGTCTGAGGCAGAGCAAAGCCAAGAGCCATAAGTTCCATCCTGGTCTCTCACAAGGAGAGTAGAGGCCCCAGTGCTCCTCCTGGGTGCGTCAGCAGCGAACTGGATCCACGTGGGAGCGGCCGGGATTTCACTCCGCACTCTGAAGTTGCAAGAAGTGGCTAAAAGCTTGGTGCCACGATCCTGGCCCCAGGCACAAATTATTTATTAATTTTTAATTAGTTAATGCAGTTGAAGGTCAAAGTTACAGAGAGGCAGAGGTCTTTCACCCAGTGGCTCGCTCCCCACATGGCCATAACAGTCAGGGGGGTGGTCATGCTGATACTAGGAGCTGGAGGATTCTCCCAGGTTTCCCACCTGGGCAGCCGAGGCCCAAGCGCTCGGGCCATCCTCCCTGCTTTTCCGGGTGCATTGGTGGGGAGCGGGGTCTGCCCTGGCGCCGCCGGGTCGTGAGCTGGCACCATAGAGGATGCTGGTGTCGCAGCATCCCATCATGTCTCTAGTGCCACTTCCCCTGCCTTTTTTTTTTTTTTGACTACACGATGCTTTTATGTAGAGTACTGACACCTGATGAATTAGTTTTCATTTTTGCATTTATTCTTTGGGTGTTTGACACACTGATTGTCCTTAATAGCTTAGATCTCTGTAATATCAGAGGTGAGGAAGTTTGGTTTTCAATCCTGTGACCTTTCTGGCTCCTTTGATTTTATCTGCTTGAATTGACATATGTGTAAAACTTGATGTGTTTTTTTTTTAAAAGATTTATTTTTATTATTTTTTTTTATTGGAAAGGCAGATATACAGAGAGGAGAGACAGAGAGGAAGATCTTCTGTCCGATGATTCACTCCCCAAGTGAGCGCAACGGCCGATGCTATGCCTATCCGAAGCCAGGAGCCTCTTCCGGGTCTCCCACGCGGGTGCAGGGTCCCAAAGCCTTGGGCCGTCCTCGACTGCTTTCCCGGGCCACAGGCAGGGAGCTGGAAGGGAAGCGAGGCTGCCGGGATTAGAACCGGCGCCCATATGGGATCCCGGGCGTGCAAGGTGAGGACCTTAACCACTTGCGCTACCGCTCCGGGCCCAACTTGATGTGTTTTATTGACATTTTGGTTTTCTGCCTTTTAAAAAATGATAGGCTTTATTGTTTTTAGAATAGTTTTAGGTTTTACAGGAAAATTGAGAGAAAGTGCAAGATTTCCCACATTTACGGCCCTCAGTCGGTAATGTGCAACTTGTTGGTGTGACGCATGGGTCACACCAACCAGCGTTTATCGTTTACGTTAGAGTCTGCTCAGTGTGTTATTTTCTGGGTTTTGACAGTGACAAGCAGGGACAGGTCCACTGTTGTAACACGCAGTCACACTGCATTAGAAACTCCTTGGTGACCCATCTGTCCCCTGTACTCCTGCCAGCCACTAGCTTCTGCCGTCCCTCTGCACGTGTTTGTCCGAAGGCCGGGAAGTGATGACGGAGATTCCTTTGTCTGTGTCTTGGCAGCCCGTTCCTCTTGCTGGCTGGGTAATATCCCACCGTACGGATGCACCCCGGGCTGTGCGTTGGATAAAGCCTCCGTGAGCGTCCATGTGTGGATTTCCAGTCGCAACACCGTTTCTCAGCTCCTGTGGATGCGTGCCGAGGAGCGGGATGGCTGGAGTGGGCAGCAGGAGCACGCTTGGTGTCGTAGGCACTGCCCGGCTCTTCCGAGGTGGCTGTCCTGCTGTGGCCTTGCTGGCGGCTCTGCCTCCTGGCTGCTGTTGGTGCCTGTCATCCCGATAGGTGTGCAGCTTAGTGAAGCGTGTCATCACCTTCCCTGCTCTTTTCAGAAGCATCACATTCCGTCATCCTACAGGATCCAGAAGGTTCCCCGAAAGTCAGGGAACTGTCGGAGAAAATGTTGGATTCAGAGCAGTTGTTTAGAAGTTAGCAAGAGAAAAACAAAGTCTAGGAAAATTGTCTTGTTTTTGTACCAAGTGAGATTTTTTGCTTAGAACTTGTGTTTCTTATTTTTTGGGGTGTGTTTTACTTTTTTCATTATTTTTTTTCAAAGATTTATTTTTATTATTATTATTTTTTTATTGGAAAGGCGGATATACAGAGAGGAGAGACAGAGAGGAAGATCTTCCGTCCGATGATTCACTCCCCAAGTGAGTGCAACGGCCGATGCTATGCCGATCCGAAGCCAGGAGCCTCTTCCGGGTCTCCCACGTGGGTGCAGGTTCCCAAAGCTTTGGGCCGTCCTC